CATTCGAAACCGAATTGACTGAAGTGGCTCTTGCATAAGACCGCAAAGTCCTCGCTTCAATGGGTTTCTAACTGAAATGACAAAATTTTGTTTGATCATACATTAGAATTGAGGTAAGGATTCATTATTAATGATTCTTACAATGCTTTTCCACGGGGTTTACACAAGCTTGAGGGCCAAACAACCATCTGCTTCAATTGGTTTCTAGCTGAAATGACAAAATTTTGTTTTATCATACATTAGAATGGAGGTAACGATTCATTATTAATGATTCTCATGATGCTTTTCCACGAGTATTTCATTTAAGACTTAATCCACGGAGTTTACACAAACTTGGGTGCCAAACAAATCATCTGCCTTGTATACTATTGATTCCAGACGTCCTTTGAAATGGCTTTTTTTTTCAGGCCGTCTCAGGCACCGTCGGTTTTATTCACGTGATTCAAAAAAAGTGATCACATGATGCTAAACATTTCTTGGTGTGCATGGCCAAAGTTTGCAGCACAGCGTTTGCAAATTCCTCAAAAGTTCCAAGTTCGAGGCAAATCGTATCCATGCGATGATTTTTGCATCTGTTGAACTCTTCTCTGTGAGATATCTTGGATTGCATCTTGCTAGAAAATGCGAAACTCAACAAACTTGGAAACAAACTGTGGTCATGAATTCGTCATCACGCGGTCGCTTTTTTTTGAATCGCATGAATGAAGCCATTTCAAAGGACGTCTGGATCGTGTTTTTATTTAAAGGAGCAGTCACGGCATTTTGAGGTATTCTCCCGATTGTTAAGTCGTCCATCATTATCCATCGTTCGTTTACGCCAGCAATCTTCATGACAACGAATTGAAATTCGATACTAACTGGTTCTCGGTATCTTTTAAATGCCGAGACGATTCGAAAGTAATTGCCAATCTAAAAGGAAAAATTAAAAATGCGATAAAATTTTCACATTATTACCGGTTCATCATGCACGAAAAATTGACCCTCTGAAAATAACGTCGCAATGAAAGTAGCTGATGACTCCATGGATAATTTTACTTTCTTTTCAGAAACAAATTCAGGAAATAACAGATAGAGCAACGAACTGTACTACTCTGATCCGTTTACATGAGACGATTATATTCTTCCAAAGGCGATATATTAATCAGTTGTGACGTATTGAAAACTTTTTTCAATAGGGTTTTTCATTTTTCCCCCACAGCTGTTTGTGTTGTTTTTGAAAGACTACCAATGAAGTTGTTTCGATCAAACTTGTGTATATTTTAGAACACCTGCCCTATCCGTTAGCATTTCAATTATCTGTCAGTTGTCATATCAACAGGAACAGGGCCACCTGCTTTGCATTAATACTGCAATGAAATTTATACTCGCTTGAATATGGAAGACTAGCTTAAAATGTTTAATTAAACCGCAACGTTTTAACTTAATCCGCCTACTTAAAGCGGATGAGCCAAGAATTCAAAGCGAGTCACATGCGGTCGGTCAGTATTACGCCATTTTTTTTCTCAATTCAAGGTAAGGCNGCCAAGAATTCAAAGCGAGTCACATGCGGTCGGTCAGTATTACGCCATTGTTTTTTTCTCAATTCAAGGTAAGGCCTCATTTTTCAACTACAAATTGAATTTAATTTTGTTGTTAGTTCTTAACGAATGGATGCGTATGCTTGCTGAAAATAAACACGCTTTTAAGCATTCACGAAAGCTTTGTACACTTCTTAATAGAGGAACTTTAATTGTGTTGCGACTTCAAACAAAACAAACCCGTATTTGTTCGCACAATATGTGGCAGGGTTTATGCTAACGTTAGTCCTACACTTTTGTGTTGTTTTTTGATATGCAACTCACGAGCGAAATCTCAACGATGGACGAAGTTCCTTCAATTTTGTCGCGAATGTTTTGCTCGACCTTGCGTTGATTCAGTATTACAGAGAAAGTAATGTGGTGTTACTGAGGCTTTCGAAGGCTTATTTTCACGACAAGTAATCGGTTAGGTTATACAGAGACGGCTGGAGATGTATTATACAGCTACGCTTAGGTTTTCATGTGGCATGTACTCTCAAACTTAAGGGTAATTAACATTTCATGTCTTCTTACTTAAAAGATTGGTGTCAAGGGGATTCAATGCTGTCAATATAATAAAATCATCAAGCGAAGGTATTTTAACGGTCTTGATGTACCGGTAAATTCTCAGAACGAACATTGAGATAAATTTATGGAAGTGAAAAGGAGATTTCACAGTCAAACTTCTTATTGAAGTACTTTTAAGCCCTTAAAGTTAATCGAAAATTGGCAGGAGAAGAAATTTTGAATATATTTCCGGTATTTTTGTTGTGCTACTATTGGTCCTCAGTGGCGGATCAAGGGGAGGGACCCGGGGACCCGGGCCCCCCTTATTTTGGGTGAAAAAAGAAGAAATGACTGAAGGAAGAAAAGCCGGCAGGGCAAGTAAAACTAAACCGGGCCCTCCCCTTAGCTCAAAGTCTGGATCCGCCACTGGTGTTTGTACTATGCTGTTAACTAAACCTATTGCTTCTTGTAGGTCTTAACTGTTTTTGCTGGTCAGGAAATCAACAAAAATGAAAAAAACACTCTCCAAAATGGTGCAGTTGAGAAGCCTTCTGTTAATAGTTTTGGTCTCTCCAATAGCTGGGCAGGTCACTCTACCATCACTTTATATGCCTTTGAGGCGTGTCTTTCCAGATGACTTTGGAACGTCAGCTAAACATCAGGAAGTCACTCCTGAACACGTAAGGATTCATAGTAGTTGGTCGTTGGAAAAGGTATACTCTGAAAATTTGCTAGACATCTTCGATGAATTAGCAGATATTGGTTTTTATAAATCGCAGTTTACTGCCGCAAATCTAGAGGACTTGGACTATCAATGGTCCTACGAGATACCACGTGAAGACCTCAACAGCTCTTTTTCCCAACAACTCAATGTGTCCACACCAGCGGATATCCAGGAGCAACTCCTAAAATTCACCGGTGAAAAATTCCATTTTACTGCTAATAACGTCGCATCAAGACTGGGAATTCCAGCTATCAATCTTTCCCACTCCTACGATCCAGGCGACTGGGAGACTGTTGTGCATGCGATGATTGAGGAGAGCACTCTTGCATTCAGAAAAATGCTCCAACTCCCTTCGTTGGATTCTTTAACACAACTGGTGCAGGTAGAGACCCAGGAACTTCTTAATGTCAACCTCCGCACTTTCGAGGGCCTAGTATTTCCTTTCCCTCCTAAGAAATACAATCTCGACACAAACAAAACTTCTATCATTTTTAATTCATCTGGTGTCGCAGAGGATTCTTATGGAGACAGTACGCTAGCAAGAGTCTTAGAAAATGCAGAAATTAAACTTTCTCTTCAGCAATTTGCCATTTTGTACAACAAAAGTGACGAACAAGC